CTCCATAAGAATGATTGTTCCTTTAAACGGGGTCCATCTGAAATGATAAGGGGACCTGTTTTTTTCTTCCTCACTTGGGGTTAGGAACCACTAGCTTAGCTATTGAAATGTACTAAATAGTCTTACAAATATTACTGTTACCAAAAACAATGATAGTTATTTTACCAATGTTAAAAACCCCACACAACTCATGTTTATGGCAGCCTAATTCAGTTTTAGAGTTTTAGTGTATAGATCATGCCCCTGTAATCTGACTGCTCAATTCTCTGTCATTTATGAGTTGAATCCAGGGCCGGACTGGGAGAAAAATTCGGCCCGGGCATTTTTTTAACACAGCGGCCCACTAAAAAGGGGGCGGGGCAGAGGAGGTGTGTTTTGTCATCACTCATGACAAACACGCCCCCTCTCAAAGTGAGCATGTTGGTTCAATGCTCTTCCAGGGCAGACCATGCACAGAGCTCTGCTGAAGAGCTCTAGCATGAGAAAAAAAGCCCTGTATTTGTTCTGCACAGTGCAAGCAAATTTAATAACATGCTTGCACTGTGTTTCCTTGCAACTTGTCTCTGGTGTCTCTATAAATGGATACCAGGAGACAAAAGGGTCAGGAAAGAGTATTGTGCATGTGTTTTGGAGCCTGCTTGGGGTATTGCGTGTGTGCAGAGTGAGCTGGTCGTGGTGTGGTATTGTGTAATAAGGTCGGTTTTAGTCGTGTTGTGTTTGTGGTGTAATGTGATGCATATGTGGCTCAGGGACCCCCTCCCGCCCGGCTCTGGAAAGGGGTTAAAACTTACCTTTTTCCAGCGCCGGGCGGGGAGCTCTCCTCCTCCGATCCGCCCCGTCGGCTGAATGCGCACGCGCGGCAAGAGCTGCGCATGCATTCAGCAGGTCGCATAGGAAAGCATTTATAATGCTTTCCTATGGACGCTTGCGTGCTCTCACTGTGATTTTCACAGTGAAAAGCACGCAAGCGCCTCTAGCGGCTGTCAATGAGACGGCTGCTAGAGGCTTTGGGGGAAGACTTAACCCATTGATAAACATAGCAGTTTCTCTGAAACTGCTATGTTTATAAAACAATGGGTTAACCCTAGAAGGACCTGGCACCAAGACCACTTCATTAAGCTGAAGTGGTCTGGGTGGCTAATGTGGTCCTTTAAGAGTGTAGTGTGTGTGTGTGTGTGTGTAGATATATATATATATATTTGGAAGTATTGTGTATGTGTGTGGTGCAGTGTGTTGGGGGGGTTCTGTGTGTGTGTGAGGGTGCGGTGTATGTGTGTGTGTGAGGGTGCGATGTGTGTGAGAGTGCCGTGTGTGTGTGTGATGTGTGTGAGAGTGCCGTGTGTGAGTGATGGGTGTGAGAGTGCTGTGTGAGATGGGTGTGAGAGAGTGCTCTGTGAGAGTGCTGTGAGAGAGTGCTGTGTGTGTGTGAAAGTGCTGTGTGTGATGGGTGTGAGAGTGCTGTGTGTGTGTGAGTGCTCTGTGAGAGTGCGCTGTGTGTGATGGTGTGAGAGTGCTGGGTGTGAGGGTGCTGTGTGTGATGGGTAAGAGAGTGCTGGGTGTGAGTGATGGGTGTGAGAGTGCTGTGTGAGAGTGCTGTGTGTGATGGGTGTGAGAGTGCTGTGTGAGAGAGTGCTGTGTGTGATGGGTGTGAGAGTGCTGTGTGAGAGAGTGCTGTGTGTAATGTGTGTGAGAGTGCTGTGTGTGATGGGTGAGAGTGCTGTGTGTGAGAGTGCTGTGTGAGAGTGCTGTGTGAGAGTGCTGTGTGTGATGGGTGTGAGAGTGCTGTGTGTGATGGGTGAGAGTGCTGTGTGTGAGAGTGCCAGGGCCGGACTGGGAGAAAAATTCGGCCCGGGCATTTTTTTAACACAGCGGCCCACTAAAAAGGGGGCGGGGCAGAGGAGGTGTGTTTTGTCATCACCAATGACAAACATGCCTCCTCTCAAAGTGAGCATATTGGTTCAATGCTCTTCCAGGGCAGACCATGCGTAGAGCTCTGCTGAAGAGCTCTAGCATGAGAAAAAAGTCCTGTATTTGTTCTGCACAGTGCAAGCAAATTTAATAACATGCTTGCACTGTGTTTCCTTGCAACTTGTCTCTGGTGTCTCTATAAATGGATACCAGGAGACAAAAGTGCCAGGAAAGAGTATTGTGCATGTGTTTGGAGCCTGCTTGTGGTATTGCGTGTGTGTAGAGTGAGCTGGCCGTGGTGTGGTATTGTGTAATAAGGTCGGTTTTAGTCGTGTTGTGTTTGTGGTGTAATGTGATGCATATGTGGCTCAGGGACCCCCTCCCGCCCGGCTCTGGAAAGGGGTTAAAACTTACCTTTTTCCAGCGCCGGGCGGGGAACTCTCCTCCTCCGATCCGCCCCGTCGGCTGAATGCACACGCGTGGCAAGAGCTGCGCGCGCATTCAGCCAGTCGCATAGGAAAGCATTTATAATGCTTTCCTATGGACGCTTGCGTGCTCTCACTGTGATTTTCACAGTGAAAAGCACGCAAGCGCCTCTAGCGGCTGTCAATGAGACAGCTGCTAGAGGCTTTGGGGGAAGGCTTAACCCATTGATAAACATAGCAGTTTCTCTGAAACTGCTATGTTTATAAAACAATGGGTTAACCCTAGAAGGACCTGGCACCAAGACCACTTCATTAAGCTGAAGTGGTCTGGGTGGCTAGAGTGGTCCTTTAAGAGTGTAGTGTGTATGTATATGTGTGTGTATATATATATATATATATATATATATATATATATATTTGGAAGTATTGTGTATGTGTGTGGTGCAGTGTGTTGGGGGGTTCTGTGTGTATGTGAGGGGTGCAGTATGTGTGTGTGTGAGGGTGCGGTGTGTGTGTTTTGTGTGTGAGAGTGCCGTGTGTGAGTGATGGGTGTGAGAGTGCCGTGTGTGAGTGATGGGTGTGAGAGTGCTCTGTGAGAGTGCTGTGAGAGAGTGCTGTGTGTGTGTGAAAGTGCTGTGTGCTGTGTGTGTGTGAGTGCTCTGTGAGAGTGCGCTGTGTGTGATGGTGTGAGAGTGCTGGGTGTGAGAGTGCTGTGTGTGATGGGTAAGAGAGTGCTGGGTGTGAGTGATGGGTGTGAGAGTGCTGTGTGAGAGTGCTGTGTGTGATGGGTGTGAGAGTGCTGTGTGAGAGAGTGCTGTGTGTGATGAGAGTGCTGTGTGAGAGAGTGCTGTGTGTAATGTGTGTGAGAGTGCTGTGTGTGATGGGTGAGAGTGCTGTGTGTGATGGGTGAGAGTGCTGTGTGTGAGAGTGCTGTGTGTAATGTGTGTGAGAGTGCTGTGTGTGCTGTGTGTGGGTGTGAGAGTGCTGTGTGAGAGAGTGCTGTGTGTGATGGGTGTGAGAGTGCTGTGGGAGAGAGTGCTGTGTGTGATGTGGGAGAGAGTGCTGTGTGTGATGGGTGTGAGAGTGCTGTATAAATGTTAAAAGTCATTATTTCCCCCCCTCCCTTCTTATCTTTAGCATGGGAGGGGGGGGGACCGGCACGCTGGGACTGGGAGGGGGGGTCCGGCACGCGGTGTTCCCTGGTGGTCCTCGTGGGTGAGTGAACTCTAGCCCGTGAGGCTAGCGTTCACTCTCGCGAGATCCGGTCGTTGCCATGGCAACGCGCCGGATCTCGCGAGAGGAACCCGGCGGAGCTGCAAGTTAGAGCTCCGCCGGGTCCTCTCTCCAGCCTAGCTGGCTCCCTCCCTCCCCGCCGGCGGCCGCATGTGGGCTCCTTGATCCCCCCACCGGCCCGTCGTGACAAACAGCGGGGCCGGCGCTAGGAGAGTGCCGGCCCTGCATAGACCGGCAGGGGAGATCCTGTGATCTCCCCTGCCGGCCTCGGCCCATGGCCACCGCGGCCCACCGGGCATTTGCCCGGTGTGCCCGATGGCCAGTCCGGGCCTGCTGGGGGGTCCCGGTCAGAAGCCTCCTCAAAAAGCCAGAGTTTTGGTAATGTATCCTAAAACAGAATGCATTGTATTATGGGGCAGTAGGACACAGGTCTTGCGTATAAATAGATAAGCTCCTCCGAGCTAGTCAAGGAAGTCTGGTGCCCCCGACCGCGGCTCTCCCGAGGGGGTTCGCTTAATCCCGCCCCCGAAGGTCGACTGAGGCTATCGCCTCCGTTGGTCTATCAGAATATACCTGGCACATAACGCACCCGTCATCCCTCCTCCTCCCTTAACCAGAGCCAGAGTACAATAGCTTCGGGACCTGCGCCTCTGCCCGCTAGCCATCCCCTTCCCCCGACAGGCCTCTACGGCGCCCCCCCAGAATACAGCAGGATCGCATGGAGACCCGAGACACCTCTAAAGGGTGGGGAATGTTGGGCCCCAGTCATTGGGCTGGCAGCGGCTCATAACCCCCAACTAAAATTGTGCTCTAAACCTAAATCTCCGGACAGCCCCTTCCCCCCTCACGTAAATCCCTTTGCTTAAAAGCGCACCTTCCCAAATGTAACCACATATGTTAATAAGGGAGAGCGAGAAAAAGAGAGAAAAAAAAAGGAGACACAAAAAACAAACACAATCATAAATAAAGAGTCCTGGACAAAAAAAAAACACGATGATGAAAGAGTCTATATCATTTGGACAGCCCCGTTACTCACAGCATGGGGGGGGGGGGAACACGGAGGGGCAACTGGCCATCCAT